TGGGAGGAACCAGCCTGGCTTACACCTGCTGTACTGCAGGGTAGCAGAGGGCCAGGGGCAGAGGCTCAACCCTAGGCCACATTTGTCCCCACACTCATGATAGGAAACCTGCTTGTGGGTGGCACAAGAAAAGGGGAGAAGGTTTGCTTATACACACTGGCAGCAGGCAAGTCTGCAGAGATGGAGGGCAATAGAGGCTGAAGTCCCCTTCCATTGATAGGCTGCTCACCTGCCCTGCAGAGATGAGAAGGAGGAGGCGGCAGCAGAGGCTAAGTCTTCTCCCACAAAGTAGAGAGCAAATACATGTCCAAATTTATATGAGAGAGAGATGAGAGTTGTGAAGAATCTGATAATCTCTCTAGGTGACAAAAATATCAATGCAGGAACTGAAATCTTGGGTGTTTGTCTTATAGTTAAGAGAATCTGTGAGGGGACCCAGCCGACAGACGTACACCTCTTAATATGTAAAGTGTGTGTACATGTGTGTCTACTGTTAAACAAAGTCAAAGCATATGTGCAAGAGAAGCCAGGGCGCCTTTCCAGTCTTTCCCTCCAAAGCATGAAATGGCTGATTAGGATGTTAAAACATCCTTGCTATAGGGGGGTTCCCCCCATCCATAATAATTTAAAGTATTTTACTTCCTAACCTACCCAAAACAGATATGATGAATGATTTCACTCTTTCTTTTGAACATATTTTTTATATCTCTGAATTATTGACATATTCCTCCTTCATTTCCCTCAGCTAAATATAACCAAATTCTTCAGCCTTTTCTCCGTACGACTTGCCTTCAGGTGTCTGGGCACAATCCACTAGGAAGTGCTCTGGCAGAAGGAAAGGCCCAATGAAACGATCTTTTATGAATCCAGGACTTTTTCAAATTCTCAGATCAAAATACTTTTTGAAGTTGTACTAGTACTGAATAAAATGATCATATTCATTCCCAAGACCTGAACTCAACAGTTCATTTGATTACATTACTGAAATATATTCAGTTTGTTATTCACAATTACCTCTATTTTTTTTCTGGCAATCCCTCTAATCTCTGGAGTAATCTCTCATCTCTGGCTGGTTCTGTAATTGTATTTCTTGTGTAATAACATCAAGCATTTAGCAAGACTCTTTTGAGGCAAACTTCTTTCAAGGAAACGGGCAGTACTCTGCAGAGATGTTTCAATAAATGTCACAGCTTGTTCCAAGCAGAGTTAAATCATTACACATTTGCATTCACTTTTGTTTCAGATTCCTTCAGTATTTTTAATTGTCTGGTTCAGACACTGACTCTAAGAAGTTATTTAGTAACTTTCCCAGCCATTCTGAATCAATTTTGAACTAATTCAGACATTTGATGCAGATTAATGTCACCGGTTGAGTCCACAAAATTTGATCCAATCACTCTCTTCCTGGACTAGAGAAAATCATATGACAGAGGAAGAGTTAGCGTGAGGTGGATCCAACCCACCAATATTCAACTTCAAAAAACATATTTTTTTCAACATGCTACTTAACATGAGCAAATATCACATCTCCCAGAATTCTCTTGGTTATATTTGACCACTGAAAGGGCAAAATAAAAGTAGGAGCAGATAGATAATATGCCTGCTGTGGGATTATGCTGAAAATGGTATCTCCATGGCTGATTCTCTCTCTTCCCAACTACGTGACACACGGCCCTGTCGCCCCATCCTAACTCCACAACCATTGGCCGCTTCTGTGGATGGAGGTAGCAGGCAGATTCCTTGTGGTGATGCTTAGATTGTACTGAAGCTTTAGGGGTGGGAAACTCACCACAACTCTGCCATTTTGGGCAACATTCTGATGACAGGGGTGGGGTTTGCTCCCATTCTGAATATCAGTTTTCAAATGTTATTTATACATTGACCTGACCCGCATAGCAGGAAGAGAAGACACTTTTTTATGATAGGTACTTTTTGTACTCCTCCCACCAGCAAAGAACAGCCACCATAATGTGATCATGTACATCTGTGACACTGCCAGCATTGTGACAATATTGGTCATCCCATCTCTAAAAAGAATACCAGAATGCTAAAAAAAATAGAGAATGGCCACTAAAATGGTCAAAGGTTTGAAGAATCTTGTACAAGAAAAAGCTAAAATATTTTCAGCTTCTTAAAAAGAACATTCATTCTCAGCCCAGAAATCAGTGTGTCTCTACTGCATCACAGGGACTTCCAAACATGTTGACTATCAGTAACAGCTAAGAGTTCCAACTTCCCCCCTATACACACATTTCTTGCTACATCCATTTCTGAGACACAACGAGAAGCTTCCTAGTTGGAATGCTGACTCAGTTTAGAACATGGCAAGAAGTTTTAACAGGGCGGCTCGCTCAGTCTGGATCCACCAAGCCACACTGGGGAACACGGACAATATGTTGTGCACTCAGGTTTAGAATAACTTTCTGCTTGCACACTTCTGAGATAAGCAGTTTATTCTGTCAAGGTCAACGAAAGGGACAGGAGAAATGGAGGGGACAGGGCTCTGTGTTTGCTGACCTGACTTCTTTGAAGAAAGAACAAAAAAGAAATGTGACAGAATATCCATTAGCAAGCCGAAATCTTCCCTCCCCCCTGGCCTACTATTTCAAACTCCTACCTAGCCGAGGCTAGCCAGATCTCATTAGATCTCAGAAGCTAAGCAGGGTCGGCTCTGGACAGTACTTAGATGAGATTTATCCAAGGAATACCAGAGTCATGACACAGAAGCAGGCAATGGCAAACCACCTCTGAACATCTCTTGCCTTGACAACTCTATGGGGTCGTCCATAAGTCAGCTGTGACTTGACGGGGGGGGGGGATCTTACACTTTTCTCCTACCCATTCCGGTAATCAGCTCTGGCTGGGGTGGGCAGGGTAGAAATTTGAACAATAAATAAATAAATAAAAATGCTCAGAGCAGTGTAAATGGGTCTCCCCTCCTCCACTTTGAGCTCATGTCTGATCCAGAGTGGCTGGTATACTAGGTGTGGTGGGAAACAGGAGATCCATTCAGAAACCTTTCAGTGTTACATCTGATTAGCCCCATACGCTGTAATAGTAAATCTGTGCTGGGCTATTCCACATCAGCCTTACATGATGGCTTTATATAAACAAACAAAAAACACCCTTAACCTCCATAGAAAAATAGGTGAGAAAAATAGATGTCAGGGGAAAGGCTAAGCTACAGCCTAATGTTATGTGTAGAAGGAAAGTTGTTGTATATAGAACCATGCAGCCATTGGAGTCTGTCTGCAATCTGATGTGGTATAGTTTCACATGAGGACTAGGCCATGACCTCTTCTGCATGCTTCTGTAGGATTTCAGGTGGTGGCGACCCTTTCTTACCACCCTGCACTGAACTTCTTATTATTGAACCATTTATTCCTAACTGGTTAACAGCTTACAGATTCCGTCCAAGTTTGAGTTAAGGGAGAAATGTCAGGTTAATTCAGTTCCAGTTCCCTGTGGAAAGAAATTCTCAACCAGTTTTGGGATTTATTTCTTATTGGGCTCCCTAGATCTAAAGATGTCTTTATTTTCTACAACAACACCTTTGCAAATGAACTTCAGACAATATTCTTGGTAGACCTCCATGAAACTTTCTGTGACTAAAGAATATGGTATAGAGAAATCAAAGGGAGTTGCTGCATTTGTGTCAGAAACTCTTCTGCTGATGGTTAATTTGTTAACTCCTTATTTATTTATCTATGTATTTATTTTTGCCGTCAAGTCACAGCTGACATGGTGACCCCATGGGGTTTTCAAAACAAGAGATGTTCAGAGATGGTTTGCCATTTCTTGCATCTACATTGTAACCCTGGGTTTTTTTGGTGATCTCCCATCTAAATACTAACCAGGGCTGACCCTGCTAACCTTCCAAGATTTGACAAGATCAGACTAGTCGTGGCTATCCAGGACATTTTAAAGATAAAACAGTGGATGTAGTGGGCTCAGTGGACAGAACACTGATCCATGTGCCAGAGGTACACATGTCAACAGCTCTTTGCATACATGACATGGCAGAACACACTACCAATAGGAGCTTCCCATGATGTGTGCGTGCAATGAACAGGTCATGCTAAGTTAGGATAACTATTTTAATAGAATTTGTGTTTTCATACTGGCTTTGTGTTTTGATGTGTATTCCATCTAAGTTCCCTTGTAAGACCTGTGATGGTCTTAAAGGTGCAATAAATACAATAAATAAATATAATACATGATAATTCACCACACATGATGTCAATCATATTGAGCATGAGGCAGTTTCTGGGTAGGGAAGGCATTGTATCAGAAGAGGCCCTGTTAGAAGAGAGAATCTTTCAGGAAGAGTTCGATGTATCTAGTCAGCTTGTGCACTCTTGCCAGCAGATACTGGTCCAGAAAAAGATAGTGCCATACTAGAGGTACCTTACTTTAAATGTATCTTTATTCAGTGGCCTCTACAAACACGTTTGCTTCATTAAGAGCCAGTGTCATGTAGTTAGTAAAGTGCTAGACTAGCATCAAATCTCTACTCTGCCTTGCAAGCTTGCTGAGTGACCTTGGGCAGGTTTTGCTTTCTCCCAGTCCAACCTACCTCATGGCATTAATGTTATGAAAATAGTGTTTAAGAGAAGAGAACAATGTTGTAAGCCACTTTAGTAACCCATTGGGGAGAAAAGTAAAGTATAAATATTTAATCTAATTAATTAATTAGCATTTGTTAACTACATACATAGAAACTTGCATAAACATTAACATCCAGTTAGCATTGAAAAGGACATTTTGCACAAATAAATAATTTGACACAATCTACAGGGAAGATCTTCTAGGTTGAGTCCCACTGAAATGAGTAGGAGCTGCTCAAGAGTTCTCTTGTGCTTCCTGCACAGTTATTTATCTCAGTGAGGTTGTAATATTAAGAACATTACTGAGGATCGGCCTCATTGCCCATCCAGTTGCTGCTTCAGAGAGCAGGTCTTTCCATCCCACACTTCCTCAAAAGAGAAGATAGTACTCACCTGCCATTCTTGGTGACAATCATCTCATTCATCACTTCTTTGAACCTTTGCCATAGAGCAGCATCCTCCAAAACCACCTGAAGTTGTTTCTCAGTGGGGTCCCCTTTGTCTCTTCCAGCTTGCAGCTCATTCTCCACCACATTGAGCAGTCTGGAGATGGTGCAGTCACTATGCTTCTTGCAGCCCAAATCAGTCATGGGGACTTCAATGTCAGAAACTTCTCAGATGACTTAAAAAAAAAAAAGCAACAGCCACCCCAGAGATCTAAACACCAACCAATTAATTAAGCTCAGTGGAACAAATGGGTTCACCTCAGCCTTTTGCCATGGACTTGTTCTTCCCGCCACTGCGTCCCAACAGGAAGATGACACCTGTGTGTTAAGGTTTTAACATGCACACACAACCATTCCCTAATTACTGTCTGTCAGGTGGGAGGCAGCCTGATTGTGCAATTGGCTGCCAGTGAAGAAGAACCTTCCATTCAAATCAGTAAGCTTTTATCTTTTTGAGGAGGGTCTAATTATTCTGCTTAAGAACTATATTTTTCCATTAATGAAAATGGTTTAATGTCTCAACTGAAACAATGAATGGAAAGTGGGTCTATGGAGATGCAAATTCTTGCTGGAAAGAGGAGAGTGAATAGTATTCAAAAGCAATCTGTGGGGATGCGTTGGGTCTTTCTGTTCCAAGTACAAATTTGCCAATTTACCCTGTTTCTCAACAATAAAGATTATGATCATTAAACCATACATCCGTGGATTTGAAACAGATGAACATGCATGTGTGTTTCTTATATTTGAGCCTAACTACTTAGTTCTGCAGGATTAAGAAGTGGAAAGATGGTGTAATTACTATCCTCAAAGTACTATAATACTTTCTGACCACTCTAGTGCTCAGAATTGAGCATCAGTTCACACAACAGTTCTATGCATTGACCGGTGCTTTTATTTCTCACCCAGAGTGCATTCTGATCATGGCAACACAGGTTGTTTAAACAATTTATCATGAGTACAAGACTCGGGTTAGCAACAGGATACCTGAAATGGGATTCACAGTCATAACTTTATTAATTGTGATCCAAAATGTCTGGTTTGTAAATACCAGACATGTAAATATCATAAGTATTTTGAATTCAGACAGAATATTTAGCAGTGGAAGTCTGGCATTTCTAGTTTCGATTTCTCAAGCAGCAGGAGGCAGATACTGCTGCAGCAAGGAGAGACAGTGGGTCAGCATCAGCAGATCTATGTGACCAGGATATTGTCCAACCAGAAGCCTTCCCACTGAACAGAATTATCCAAAGTGGTGTTTTTGTACTCAGTTTTCCAGTTTCTCCCAAACAGCATAACTTTTTACTGGATGGGAAGGGCTTTCAGATTCTGTGTAACTATGGGTCCTACTGTCTTCTTAAGGGTCCTACTTTCTTCTTGACATGTGCTATTTGGACAAGCAGAAAAGGTGGTCTGTATGCATCTACCAGCAAACAAGCAGGACAGAAGGGGGAACAGGGGCACAAGGACTGTGCATGCACGCACACGCACACACGTACATCCCTTTAAACCAGACAAGGTGCAAAAGATCAGTAATGAATCTCCTTAAAAGGAGGTGAAAGCACACTCTAAAACCAGTTTACTCCTGATTGTGTCCCCCCGCAAATGAAATTATTAATTGCCTGTAGAACTGGACTTTCTCCAAATGAAATCTGGGAGGAATTCATTATCAGTCCCTGAGAATTCTTCCCAGTTGTATAGGGGTTGGGGATTACAGGCAGAAATATGTTTCTGATGGAAATCAGCAGCAATGACTGTTGGAACAGTTACCTAACATAACTAGTTTTACTTTAAGAAATCTGACTCAATTTTTAAAGTATGACCCACTTTGAATCCAGCTATTTTTGCAAATCATTATTGGATTGTTTGTTGCAAGCAAGTATTTTTGTCATTTAAACTGATACCCATCAGATTTTTTAAAAAGCCATAAGGATTTTTGTGAGCTTTGTACATTTAAGTACACTTTGTGGATCCCCTTAAGAGTCACGATCTGAATAGTGATAATATAACTTATTGGCACCACATAACTTATTTAACTTAAGGATGCTGAAGAGCCTGCAGGTGCCCTGACTTCTTCATTCCACTTGAGGCTAATGAAGGTGATGCATTTATTTATTTATTTATTTTGTAATTTGCACTGAGACCTTTATTTTAATAGTGGCTTAATGTGTGGAAATAGAAAGCTGAAACTTCTCATGGTGTGGAGGTAAATAATATAACCTAGTAAATAACATCCCATTAAGTCTTTATTAAAAGGACAGGGCATTTTCTTCCTCCAAGCAGTTGGCAATCCTATTGCCCTGAAAAATTCAGAAATAGTAAATGTTTTTGGTATATGTATACAGAATATGTATTGGGAGTAACATTTGAATTCTGTTCTGGACCCTCAGCCTGAACATTTTATATACCTCGTCTTAGATCCAATGCTGTATTTTCACAGAGAGAATGATTTCCACCCATGGAGTGTGACTTTCTCACCCTCCCCAAAACTTTTGTTCTTGGGGATCCTCTGTCCCCCAGAAACAGCATCCAGACCTTTAACCTTTCACTATACCAGCTACACTTCACTCCAAGTATATTGGGATAAATGAGAATTGGCACACAGAAGGGGAAAAGACTCCAGTAGCACCTTAAAGACTAACAAAGTTTGTGATAGGGTATGAGCTTTCATGAGTGACTCACAAAAGCTCATATCCTGTGTTTTATTCTTCTATGTAAACCACCCTAAGCTGGCTTTGGCTGGGAAGGCGGGGTACAAATCTGATCAATAAAAATAATTAATAAATAAATTCTGCCACAAATAGTCTTTAAGGTGCTACTGGACTCTTTGCTCCTGCTACTGTGGAAGATACTCTTAAGGATATAAAGTACAGCTTTATAGAGGAACATATCTGATATTATTGTAAGGACATGATCACAAATCTTCCTCCATCACCTTCATTTAGAGTATTTCTATGGTGTTAGTGGCCAACTGGCAGACTAACAGCTATGGCTGGTCTCCAATGGCTTTACCGTTTTTTCACATCAAGATATGGTTAAAAAAACAACACCTCCCCTTCTCTCTTAAAGAAAAATGCTTTCAAGTTGTAAGAAAGGTATATTTTCATATTTTAATGCTATATCACCATTGAAATGTTGTATGTAACATATAGTGTGTCATGTAATGCCTATGTGGGGTCTGTAGCCACAAAGCCGTTAGATAATGCCATCTTTGTAGTGGAGCATGACTGTTTGACTGTGTAGTTCCTACAGCTAAAGACACATTTGCACATCTGTAGAACTGAATGACTCTACTTTTAGCCAAAAGACAAATCGTCTAAGTTCTCAGTTGTTTAAGACCCACTAAGTTCTCCATCTTCTACAGTTCATGAAAGTTCAGGTATCAGCACCACTGCTGATAATCTTTGATTTTCACAAGACAAAAGAGCAGGCATCTGCTGACAAGTGGATGGATGAGAAGCAGCCTAAGGAAAATTCAGTGCCAGCTCTTTAGAAAACAAGAGGTCTGATTTTTCATCTACACTTCTCTTGGTCTCACTGAAATCCATGAAAAGTTAGGTCTCTTCTTGTGTTATTAACGACTGCCTTTAGTTACTAGCTGCTGTGCATCATTTAAAAAACCCAGTCAGCCTACCTATCTCTGCCACTAGAATCACGTCTAATTGGCTCTTCACGGAACTGATCTCTGCAAAAGTAATGAAAAGACTAATCTTTCCTAAATCACCCACAATCCTATAATCTCCCATGGTGTTGAACCCTGATTAAAAAACCAGCACAGCAGCTGTCTTTTTGTCCTCTCTAATTATGACTTGGCATTGGGTGTCATGGCAAGCTAGATATTTGGTTTCCCCCCAGTCTTTGAGAACTGAATGTACAGGCAAAAGAGTGCATTCAAATGGGACATCAGGGAGCTGGAAAGAATGAGTCTGGTTCCCATGGATTTCATTTGATCAAGAATTTCCTCCTTTTTTACCAGCACTAGAGCAGACAATAGGAATACACACCTATCAAATATCAGGCAAAGAGGGAAAAGACCTTTCATTTCCCTCCATATTGCGTGTCAGCAGCTGTTGGTTTTTCAGAGTTTTTGATAAAAGTTTAATCACCTAAAGAGACACTCAAACAACACTCCTAGACAAATATACTCTGATATCCTGAACAAGTGTTAATAAAGCATTTGACAGAGTTTCAATCACTACCTGCACTGATTCATAAATAAGGCTCAGTGTCAAATACAGTGGCGCTATGAATTTAGGTAAATTATTGATTTAGCAGGTATTAAAAATGGGGCAGTGTATTAAGCCGTGCTTCACTGTGGGCTATTGGGCAAATACAACTTTATGGTTTTACATGTATGTCACATCAGTGGACATACCTAAGGAATACAAACTGTTATACAATTCAGTTCACATGCTGTGACCATTCACATATTCATAGTAAGGGCAGTTAAAGAATGCCATCTTTTCAGGTATGTAACTGGACTGAAGATTTTAATCTGTTTGCCACTGTGCAAGAACAGAAGCATGTGCTGGAAGTTATTTTACATTTATTATTTTTAATTTATGTAGTGTACTTGAAAACTAAAAAATGATTAAGTGAAATCATGAAAATTGCTTTCTATGACTGCCTTCTGTCAACAACAATGTCCGCTGGCAGACCTAGGCTATGAAATATTTTGTAGAACATACATACTAAAATATTGTTTTGCAAAAAGGATAATGTGGTAAATTGCCACCAAGAGAGAAATCAGAAATTTTGTCACAAATTAGACTAAATTTGTTCTGGCTATGGCGACCATCACTGCTATACAATTTTTACTGATCCTAGCACTGAGTGGAATTAGGCTATTGAGACCACTTTTTTGTATTGTAATAAACTATTTTATCTATGATTATTTTACTTTGATGGGTGATAGCCACAACAAGTTGCCTATTAAGCTGAATTTTAAGATTTTTATTTTGAAGTACAAAACTATTAACCTGAACCTAAGTGCACACAATAATGTCCATGTTATGTCCACCTCCTATTTATTTATTATTGTATTTCTATCCCACCCTCCCCGCAAACGGGCTCAGGGCGGCTCACAGACAAGGGCAACATGTGCCAATATAAAACAATAAAAACAGATAAAACAGCGTATTTAACAA